GTATAAATGATTTGCTGCAGAACTTGAGTCCTCAAGGACTAAGTCCAAAAGAATATTTAAGATACAAAAATCCTACCTTTTACTGTAATATATATTCAATAAATATACTAAATCATCTTTAATGCATGCCTAGAAGAATATTACATTTTGAGGAAAGTTCTATAGAATAATCTACTCATTAGTATTTGTATCCTTTACCCTAAAATTTCACCTCTAAATCCCACAGCAACGCGCGGGGAATTCGTCTAGTTTGTCTTCACTTGCCGACACTAACGAAGAAAATGTGGTGCAGAGAAAATACATAGCTCACCTGTGCATGGTCTTGAAATACAGAGCATGATCCTTTCTGTAAAGAAGAGCAATTCCACAGTAATGTTTCCCTTTAGATTACCATTCACCATTGACCATTGAATAGAGTTATTATAGACAGAGGCAAAACATGTGGCCTCAAGTGGACCACATTCATCATCTTATGCAGAGCCTTCGTCTAAGGTTGGGTATTCAGTGGTCGACTAGTCGTCAAACGTTTTCTTATTTTCTTCTTGTTGATAAAAGTGAGCGTGAAATCGACTTGATTTTGGGTGCAACGCCGTTAACTTCCGTGTCCGATATGGCAAGGGCATCTTTGCCATCTCCAGCCGCAATCCTGTCGGTGTGCACCAAGGCAGACATGTTATAGGACAAGTTTTGAACAAAACTAAAATAATGGACGTAGTACAAACATCAAAATAATAATCAAACAATTTATACATATTACGTTAAATTTTTCTTCTAATATTTCTAGACGCAAAATGTCATTGTTGACGGTACCAAAATAAATTTCATCAAACGATTTCTTCTCTAGACATTACATACTTCAAATGGTTATTTAACAACTTCAATATTCTTATAAAAGAAACAACTTCAATATTGAAAAAGATTCTTTCAACAAGCCACAACCATAGGCTGATAGGCATAAAGAAATATTTAGCATATATTTATTTTTCTAGCAAAGTAAAATATATAACACTCAACTCGGGAGTTAGATCATTTAACTCAACATCAAATGAATCATCTAGATAGAGTTTCTGCAAATTTAATCAACGGTCTTCAGCTTAGTAGCATTCAACTACCTTAACATTGTTGAGCTCATTAAAAAACCAAATATATATTTTTGAGATTTGAGTTCTTTAAATCTACTTCTTAATACACTGCTTGACATATCAACGATAACAAAAAAGTAACAAATTTCAAAAGCTTACTTAGCTGATGCAGAATATCTTTGGCAGTGATCACACATGAAAAGCAAACCCTTCATCTCTAAAGGTGTCAAGGTAATTCATTATACCTTTTATTCGTTATACGGTAGACTCAATGCACACACGGATGGTGATTGCAACTTCTTTTCTCACTGTTCTTTCAGGAAATAAATGTATATCAAATAACCATAACAAGTATAAACTCAAATATGTCAAGCACACTTCAAATTTTTTTGGGATTATTCATATCCTTGAGTTTGATATCACTATCTTCACTTAACCAAAGGAGAGGTGACTTTAGTTGAGGAGCTTGATATCTAATTGTTTTGACACTTTTGATCCGACTCTCCTGATGGCAAATACTTGTATTGTAGGTACCCTCATGAGCTTATGGAAATCTACATGGTCTCATAGTTGTAAGTAACTTTTGGCATAATTACTTTTCATGTACTTTTAAGAACTAGTGCATGTTACAATTAATTCAAGTACCTGGATGCACATATTGAGGGGGAGCCTATCTTATGTCTTGAGACTAATTAACCATTCTTTGAAGTTTTTTTGACTACTAGTCTCACAATAAAGTGAGAAGTTGCTTTCCAATTAATATTATTAATTATTAGATTGTAAAAAGCGCAGTCCTTGGTGGAAAGACAATACAAATGTGGTTGGTATCAATTCATACTTCGACAACAAGCAAGATTAGCTTCCTTTGCAAACTTCAAACCAAGAAACAAAAGATATAAACATTCTACGTCCATCCGAATGTGTGAAGAGTTGGTTTGAAGTATTCAAAGACTTGGCTGAGTCACATATGAAGATATAAGATAGTGTCAAGAAGCCAAGTGGATGAATCAAGCTCAAGTTAAATGGAGTCAATAATCATTCATATTCTAAAGTAACCACTCAAAAAAGTCTATGTGGTAATTACCATGACAATATTCTTGTTTCATGGAAACCAGCGTTCCATATTTAGCACAAAAATATTTCTCGTTCACTTGAAATTATCAAGAAAAAAATTATTTCTAGTTATGGAGAAAAGTGTTATATCATACTTCAATTGAAAAGGGTTTCTATATTTGATACTTAATAAATATAAAAAATGTTCCATTTGCTTATTTACAATGCACTAATAAATATCATTGTTGTTTCTTTTATTTAAACCAATGTATCACTAGACATTGGCACATTTGGCAGTGTCCTACGAAGATAATAAACATAAAATCAAGAAGAATAGAAAATAAAAAAGTAGATCATGCCAAAAATGGGAAAGCATTAAAAAGAGATAAGAAATAAGAAATAAGAAAAGAGAAATTGCCAAAAAAAAACCGAGAAAATCGGCCCAGGACAAGGCCCTGCGGGTGCGTTCCCCCTGGGCTGGGCTACCGCCGTCCGCCGCATGCCCGTCCCGCATCCGTTCACCCCGTCCCCCTCGTGCTCTCTCTCTCTCTCTTTCTCCCCCCTCTCTCTCTCTCTTGCTCGCTCGCTGCGACGACTGGGTGGGCTACCGCCGCCGCCGCCGACGTCGACGCCCTACGCCAGGTCCCGAGGCCTTCGTCTTTGTTAGTCTCTTGGCCGGCGACGAGCACCCACCAGGTATTCCTACCCTTCTGTTCCCTCCCTGCTGCTGTGTGAAACGGAGCACCCAAACCCTAACTTAAATCTATTTGTCTATTCGATGCTTGCAAACTTCGAACTTTTTGCAAAAATTATCATGCGTACCTGTCCCTTTAGGCTTCATTTGCAAGTTCGGGGTACAATACAATCCACAGGAGAATCAGTCCATAGGGGGATTGGGTGGTCCCTCTCCCATCACTCAATCGCCTCCTTGCCTGGTCGGACCTAATCCATTTTGTTTGATTGCTAGTTTGGGATAGGCTTCGATTGATATGGATTTGCATGTATCTCAGTATTTGGCTCATGGCTCAGGCAAGTTTTAGACCATTTGGCTGTGTACATGATAAAATCAGTGTAGTAAACAAGATACAGTATCATGATTTATTATGGAGAAAAAAATCGTAACATTTACCCCTTGCATAATAAGATACTAAATGAGTATCACGTAAAAAGAGACAACTTTGACTCAGTAATACACTAGACATTGTGTCTAGTTAGGCCCAACACAAAGCAACTTGGTCAATATACCAAACTTACTTTCTTAGAAGAATAATTATAAAAGTAGAAATAGGCAACAACAGCAACTCAAATAATCTGTCAACTAAGACTGACATTGCCGAAGCTGAGAGGTGGGCTATGAAGCGGCAGTTTATGCACTCTGAGAGACTGAGAGCACAAATGAATCAATAAAAAGTGGTCACAGTGGCTAAGGAACTCTGAACTGCAAAAACAAAGATAAATAAAGCATTTGTTTGAGTAAAAAAAATGATGACTAAAAACTTCACGATTTGCATTTTGCAAAGAGACGCCTCTATTGAGATACTAACAATAAATGATTTCAAGATTTCGTTTTGGGGCCTAAGCAAAATTAAACCAGTGCTCCTCTAAAAGAAAAATAAATTGGTGTTATATCAGTACATAACAAAAGAGTGCTGGACAAAAACATGCTTTTTGCTTGTACTCGGAAAAGTGAAAAACAAGGTTTTGCTTGACCACTGAACATATATGCATAAATAGCTCTGTGTTAAGTTCTTCCAGCATACTGTCCACAGAAAATTTCAGCTAAAATTGAGAATTACTAAATTACAAAAACTCTGTGAAAGTATCAATTTAGCACTAACCACTAGGATATTTAATCCAAATAAAATGGACTGAATATCAAAGAGAAAAATCTCAAAATAATCTGATCACCATACATTTAGAAAATAATATACTAGCACAGCATGAAACCAACTAGTGATACTAATCAGTACTACACTTAATATTTACCAGTACTACTGTATTAGAAGCTTGGAGGACCAAAAACTGAGCCATTTTAATCCACTGGCATTGGTTTCTCTATCTTCTGAAAGTTCTATTGCTGAAACGGCAAAACATTTTTATGGTTTGGAGAGAAAAAAAAGTTTTCTAATACTATCAGAGAACCAATTTATCACGATGATGGGAACAGTACAAAATTGACCCAAAAAATCTAGTAATATGTCCCCAACGAAAATAGTACTGAGGATTGTAAAGAGGCACTAGGACGAGGCTGGTTTTTGCCTCTCCTGGCTGGAGGTGTCCCAAACATCATGCCTGCTCGGGCTGGAAGCTGGAAGCATATGAGCCACATGGCATCCCAGTGCAGCCTTGTGCATTCTCCATGTATCTATGACAGGAGCAAGCGATTCACCATGTAAAACCCTAGCACAAAGGGAGGAGAGGGAGAGGGAAGAGGTGGAAGGGAGAAGTGGATTGGACTAGAACAAATCCAACCCACGTCGTTGCCAAATGCTCTTTTAGCCCATGACACAGTTTCCTCCCCGGCATGGGTTTCACACCCCACATGATGTGGATCTGCCCCCGAACCACATTGTTCCATAGGCTTCCAAACAAGGCCTTACAGGGTCCACCCTTGTGACCCGCCGTGGGAACTTGAGCATGCTCATAGTGAAGGTTGGTGGGTGGGACATAGCCCACATAGGATTCGATTTTAGTCCGGTTTTGGTGTTTTGCTGTGGACAGAAAGAAGATTAGAGGTTTGTGGTGTTTGTTGGAGTATCGAAGGTGGTGATTTTGTAGCATGGTGTTGCAGTTTGGTTGGAACTTGGAGTTTAGAGGGAAGATTTGGTGATGAGCAGCCGCAGTCCGCCGCCGAAGGATCGCAGGATGCGTGCACTTAACGCACCTCATACCGTGGACGCACCATATCGGAGGGACAGCCGCCATGGTCCAAGCAGGTTTGAGCTAATCTAAGTCAAACAGGACGCAGTGTTTGGCATTGTTCTTCCAAACATCGCCTCCTCTCGTTATAATGTATATATTTGGCTAAATGTTATTTGAATGGGGTCGTGCACAAGGTTTAAGTTCGTGGGTGGTAGAATAACCATAATTGTTTATTTGATTTAGATATAACTTTTTCCTATATTTATCCCATTGTAATCACTTGTTCATGTATGTAGCATAAACAAGGGCACTTGATACTGGTTAATGATAGCAATAATTTATCTGAAACTCTAGTAAAACAATGTAATATAGTATGGTAAAGTGATTTGGGATTGAAATTTTTTGGATGAATTCATGTTGTGGCATGGTTTTAGGAGAAAGCCTCTGTGTGGAATTGTAACTAGACATGGGTCATGACAAGAATGGTGAAATTACTAAACAATTTATGCGAATGGAACTGTAATATATTATTATTCAGACATTTGAGAAGGTTATGTATCCTTTAGTTATTTCCCTTACCACTTGTGCAGGTTTCGTAATGATTTGTGTAACAATTGTAAGCGTCCTGGGCATTTTGCTAGAGAGTGCCCTAGCGTGGCTGTCTGCCATACCTGCGGGCTTCCTGGGTAATAACTTTGTGTTATTCTGCTTGCACAGATTCATGCTCTTATATGTTATTAGTTTTAATATTTTAATCATGCAAGTGCACTTTGCTTGCAATGCCTATCATACTTTTAATCATTGTAGCACAACCATTCTAGCGATACCTTACGTAGAATTATAACTCTGTGCCCATGCTATATCAAAACCATCTCAATTGGTGCTCTTTTGAATTCTTTCATGATTTGCGGTGAAGCTATGTTTAACCATTATTGGGCATTTTATGCATCCTCAGTAGTGTGGACATGGGGTTCGTGTCTCCCTAGGAGGACAAACTCCATGTTCTAGCTTATGTTATTGTTTTGAATGTTCATGTCATCCTGAATGTCACTTCTAGCATCATTTGTCTAGTGAAGTTAATCCATATATGCAAGCAAGGCTTTATTGTTTTAGCCTCTTATTGCATAGGACCTGATTAAGGATTTGATTTGATTCTTATGATATTTTAGTTGATTAATAATTACAAAGGCCTTGAAGCATAACTGTAAGGCGTTGTAGTTCCATGTGATTAGGAAGGCTGCACTATGGCTATGTTTATCTCTTGAGCTGATATCGCTTTTTCATACTTAAATTCGTTTTAATGTTGCAGGCACATTGCAGCTGAATGTTCTTCCAAAGGTATTTGCTGGAACTGCAAAGAGCCTGGCCACATGGCTAACAGTTGCCCAAATGAAGGGATATGCCGTAACTGTGGCAAGTCCGGCCATATTGCAAAAGACTGCACTGCTCCACCAGTGCCGCCAGGAGAAGTGATCCTTTGCAGCAACTGCTACAAACCAGGGCATTTTCGTGAGGAATGTACCAATGAGAAGGCCTGCAACAATTGCCGGCAGAGTGGCCATATTGCCCGTAACTGCACCAATGATCCTGTTTGCAACCTGTGCAATGTTGCTGGCCATCTGGCCCGTCAGTGCCCCAAGTCTGATACATTGGGTGAGAGGGGTGGACCTCCTCCCTTCCGCGGTGTTGGCGCTTCCTTCCGTGGTGTTGGCGTTCCCTTCCGTGGTGACTTCAGTGACGTGATCTGCCGGGCCTGCAACCAGATTGGCCATATGAGTCGTGACTGCATGGCTGGTGCCTTCATGATCTGTCACAACTGTGGCGGCCGTGGCCACATGGCTTATGAGTGTCCCTCTGTGAGTCTCATGGACCGGTTCCCCCCTCGCCGTTTCTGAAGGACGTCTAAGGGCTGTTCAGATGACTGCTATTTTCAGCCCAGTGTGTCAAGAACACTTATTTTTGTTTGCTTTATGCATTTCTAAACCGTAATCATTATAGATATTTCAGATTCGTAACTCGCCAGCAGTATTTGTAATTCTGGATTTGCTACTTGACTCCGATGTTCTGATGATGGTAATGTTTGAAGACGGGGATATCTGCCCTTATGAACTCAAATTCATCCTGTGAGTTTTTAATATTATTCGAACTGGAGCATCAGAACATGTGCTGCTGGTTGCGCCCGTGGAAAAAACGATTCTTGTGACTTTCGATGTGCCGGAGCTCCCTGTGCAAATTATGGGAGTTGCTATATTTTGGGTGCTCGAATTTTTATGCAACAATTTTAAACAACTAACTAGTATAATTAAAAGAGCAATATATAAGAGATAATTTAGTTTTTTAATCAAACAATGGCAAAATTACGTGTTGCCTAAACAACAATCAGGCAAGTTATTGTCAAGCAAGGGAGTCTGTGTTGCAATGTGTAAACAACAATGGGAGAATTGCCTAATAAACAACAGTCAGGCCAACATGGGAGAGTGCCAGAGTGGCCTAAACAACAGGCCAACAATGCGAGAGTTGTAAAACATATCCCGGTGCACCCTGGTAATTGTAAATTTCGAGTTTCTGAAAAGTTGAATGAAAGTTTCTTTACCTTGTAATTTTTTTACTTGTCGTGGTCCGGTAAAAGTTGTGTTTGAGTACATAGTTAAAAACTTAAAAACAATATAATAGTACACTTAAAAACTATACAGCAATTGATCTAATTTAATCAAAGCATGGAGCAAACTCGATGAACGGCTACTCTGAGAGTTGTGGTGTTATTCGTCAGCATACAAGTTCCATAGAATTTCACAAACACTAGGAAAAAGAAGGCAGAACAGCTGAAAGCGAAATCATAACACACGTGACCAGCCCAACTCAGTATATCTCCCATTTCGAAATGCCACAGTGAAGTGGATGGTCATAGAAACACTCGAGATGCACTGTATCTTGCAATCTAATCCAATTTCACATAGCTGAGTCCGTTGCCATCTCCTTTTTTGCCATCATTTTGCCCCAGATCCTTCAGCTGCATCGAGGGGAGGACAAATAAAAAATCAGCTACTTGATCAACTCAATAACTAACATTGGGAACATCTGGGAACTCCTTGTTATTTCTAAGCTAGAATGGAAAAATGTTTGAAAACAGTCAACAGTAGAAAAAATACCTTCGCTAGGTATGCTTTGTGGAATCTGTAGCCCTGAAAGAACAAAGAACTCAAGATTAGAAATCTGATATTCCATCACTTCTTAGTACCACCTTTCAAACTGTGTGTAGAGGAGAAACTTACTCTATCAGTCCCATATAAGTAATCACAGTAAGTGAAAACAGAAGCAAAATTGCTTTGGCTCTGGCCTCCTACATAATGATGATAGTCATGGTATTCTGCTCCTCCATAGAATGGAATATACTTTGTCGGGGTGAATGGGAAATCAAAGCTGCAAAACGACAAAACAAGTTATGTTTTCCCCTTATAGAAGCTGCACAAAAAAAAAGTAGCTATCATGGACAGTTTCATTGATCACAGCGAAATATAACAAGCAGTACCTAGCACAGAACAGGACAAACTAAGGTAAGTCCTAGCTGGGATGGTGAAATGTATAATATTAAACAAAGCATAACTGGATTGTATCAAAAGGTTGGGCAAACAAAGAACCAATGTGATATGCGTGATATCAGTAGAATTTCAGTCCCCCAACAAGTAATTCTGGTGACACTGTGACATGGTAGTTAACTTCAATCGTATAGAAAGGTTGGGCAAACAAAAAAGACCAATGTGATATGTATGGTATCGGTAGACCTCGGTCCTATCATAGCACAAGCCAACGGGACAACAGGTCATTCTGGTGGCATGGTAGTTAACTTCAACCATATATAGTGAAACTAGGATTTTTTATCATCTCCACCTAAAAATAGGGACAAGAAATGTACCATTACAACATGACAATACGAAGAGTAACTAGTGTGCCCTTTTTATCAAAAAGAAAAACATAAATACTGTGTGTTGAAAGGTCATAGTACTCCAGCTAATGGCATAAGTTGAGACTTGAGACAATATTGCCTGTGAGTAGAAACATCCAAGATAACAAAAAAAATAATTTCCTATCCACTAAGATATAAATCAAGAAGGATAATTGCTCCAACATGACCCACTTAGATAGTGAGTAATACAAGTGCAACTGCAGCAAAGTATTGAATCAGTAAATCCTGAATTTTTCAAGCTGCAAGTAAGCATATTACACTTTTCTCTTCCTGCAGGAGTTAATTCCATTCATACTTCATAGCGAGCATAAACGTTGTTATTTAGATTTTGCAAAGCTTTGTAGTAGAATCATTTCAAACATTCCTTTACGGATTGATAGGCGTATCCATTTTGTTAGTAGAGTGAAACTGCACGTAACAAAAGTTTAATTCAAATCTGCCATGCCTAACCTTAGGCATCCACAGTTAGTAGGCAGTGTTTTATTCCTCCACAATTTAGGCTGGCTAACTTCTTAGCATCCTCACCCACATCTACTCAGGTTTCTTGCCTAACTATGCCTAAACTTAGGTGATTCTTTTCTTGCCAGAAAAGCGTGGCAAGACTAGGTTAGCCACCATAGTCAAGAATGTGCAGCAACATTGTAATTTGGGAAATTTCAACTACAGCTTCAAAATTGGTAAGTGTATTTTTGTTCCTATTACCACAGAGCAGCAGCCAATGCTAATCCATGCTGTATACTTTCTTCATTACCAGGGAATACCCCAAAGAAGTATCGACTAAAAAACCTTCAACTGTAAACAGCTGGCTAAGAACTCTCAGGCAATTCTATCAGTTATGCAGATAACAACATCAGTTCAAATCAGCTTCCAACAACAACAACATAGCCTTTCAGTCCCAAGCAAGTTGGGGTAGGATCAATGAAAAACTCCTGGCGAGAAACTCCATTCACTCAGGTCATTGTCAGTGCTGTGCACACCACAGTAACCCAGGAACTCCACCCATAAACTACATCCATCACTAGCAACAAAGACTAACCCACGCAAAAGCAATACAATGTTGCACAATAATATAAAATAATTACAAAAGCATGTTAAATGAATTCAATTGTTGTGCATAAACCATAAAGTGCTCCATAGATGGGAAAGACAAGAGAAAGTCCTTACCCACTATGCGTCTCGATAGCCTCCACCTGACGGAGTATAATCCAGAGCCAGAATGTGATCATGTGGCCTGGAGCAATGGCTGGCCCGATGAAGGAGGGGATGCCGAGTATCAGCACCTCAGCCCAGTGTGCATATGGAGCTGCGAATCCGATTGGCGCGGTGAACTCATGGTGGACGCAGTGGATCTTCTGGTACCCCCACTCCCCGTGGAGAAGCCTGTGGATCCAGTAATTGAGGTAGTCCTCAACAAGGAAGTACACCAGCAGCTGTGCTGCCATCTCCGCCAGGGACGGCAAAGGCAACTTCGTGTGAATTCCCACCAACTGATTTGATTAAAAGAAAAGTCAATATTTTTGTATATGAGAATACAATTTTAGCACGATGAAAGAAATGCAGGGAAGGAAATTTCTTCTGCTTTCCAAGACTAGGCGAACTGAGGGGAATCTTCTAGATAGGGGCGCATCTAAGAAGGGTTCTTGGTGCAGAACCCAGATCAGGAAGTTCTCACTCAAAGGGAGGAAAACATGCAGAGAAATGTAATTGGAATTCTTTCTTGTCTAAGAAGAGCACAAGAACAGTATGGAAACGCGATCTCTTGTACTGAATCCGCCCCCAAGAGGCCGTAATCTCAAGAACTAACCAGGCGCATTGCGCGGAATCACCGACCGAGAGCACAGAAGGATGGAAGGGAACCGACCGACCTTGACCATCGGGAAGGAGACGAGCTGGAGCGGGCCGATGACGAGGAAGAAGATGCGGAGGACGTCCTTGTAGCAGCGGACGAACTCGGCCCTGGAGAGCCGCACCCGCGGCTGCAGCTTGTACGGCGAGACCGCGTCCGGGGCCCGGAGCTCGAGGAGCGCGAAGGGGAGCGGGGCCACCGTGAAGACGACGAAGAGGAAGAGGATGTTGCAGCAGTACAGGTGGTAGTCGGACACCCCCGCGGTGTAGCGGAACCACAGCGCCTCGGCGGGCGTCATGGCCCGGCCCAGCGCCGCCTCCGCCGCCGTCGCGTAGGGCAGCATCTCCGGCGATCCGAGGGGGCCCTCTCAACCGTTCCACGCTGCTCCCGCCTATCGCCGGCGCCTTCCCCTGTTCTCTGGAACTGGAAGTGGAGGAGGGAGACGACAGAGGACAGACGAGGGAGAGTGACGAGTGGGCCGGCGGAGAGAACGAGAGCAACCCCACAGTTTATGCGTGCCAGCTTCAGTCTCTGCGGTGTGGGTCCGGGTGAGGCCCGTCCGCGGTGCGGGCTTTGGCGTGGTGTGACACGAACCGTTGCATGGATCTCGCGCCTCACGTGGGGCGCGCGTGCCTGGCGGGCTGGATCCCTTGGGCGTTTGGAAGTTGGAACGCTGTTCTGGGCCTTTGGGGCGTGTCTGTCCTGCGACTGTGAGGTGAGACTTGAGGCACGTGTCCAGAGATTGAAGCGTATGTGTAATCTGTGGATGCATACGGGGACATGCGTGTTTGCTGCGACTTCTTTCCCAGCTTCAGACTGTCCTCGACGAGGAACCGTATGGGTATCGAACTCAAAAAATGAAATCTAAAATTAGTTTTAATAGAGTAATTATATGGAAGACTTATTTTGGGTTGCCTGAGAGACACAACCTAAATATGAGCATCATCTCTCCTAGAAACTCATTTGTAGAAAGGATTCTCTTTTGGGTCTTATTGTTGGAGAAGATGTCGGTGAACCTTTTGTCTGTAACACTACCCAAAGGACGAATGGATCTTGTATTTTCGATGCTATTGTTGAAGATAGCCTTACCGAGTTGTTTTCAACTTCTCCTGCCAAACGAATTTGGATCAAAAATAGCTTTTGTCTAAAAAATTATTTTTCAGATCCTTTCACATGCACATTTCTCTAGGTAAAGCTGGATGGAACTAAAAATATACTAGCTTCTTCAGTTTTTTCTTTGCTATCTTCCCTTAAAAACAAACGTTTATGAAAACAGCTTTAGCTTCACTAGTAGTGAAGCTGAGTTGTATCAAACAA